AGGGCGTCTGCACCTTCTCTAGAGGAACCTGGAGAGGTCCGGGACTCATCTCTTTCATTGATCATTTGCTGAGCTTCAGATGCTTCGGTTGGTTAGTGCTTGGACATGCGGACAGATGCTTTATGTCTGATTCTTTAAGTGGACTCGATGTCAGCAAGAGAGTCTTSGAGGGGGTCTGGCTCAGGAGGATTTTATGTAGTGCTCTGTAAAGGAAGAAGACATCCTGCATGCAGAGTTCCTGGAGGTTGTCCAGYTTTCTCAAGTGAAGGCTGTATTTATGGGGATACCACCTATTCAGCAAGTGGGATGTAAAGAGGTGCCAACTTATGCTGGTGAAATGAAATAATGAAGTTTCCTCATCTTGCTCAGGTAAAGAAAAACAAAATGTTCCATTTTTTCCTGACCCCAGAAAATATCCATTTCCAGCTCCTGGACATAGTCCACCAGCTTTATAGGAGAAGTGATCACCAATCTTCAGCTTCTCGTGGTATATKCGGACCACCGCCTTTCTCTCCAAGGCCCACGTGGGGAGCCTGAAAATGAGTTCATTTTTGGCGGCTTCATCCATCACTTACGTATGAATACCCTCAAAGTCTGTTTTATTCTCCTTCAGCCATATTTCCCTCTTTTCTTTGGACACATGGCCTCTTGTGAGCAAGTGCTCACTGGGGCTGTGGACCTCATGATCAGGAAGTCCTGATTCACATTCCTAAAATTCAACACTTGCAGTTTCCATTGCCTGGGGTGAACCTTCTGGGAAAGCAGCATATCCAGCCCACCYAACAGGGTTTTTAAGGCCTGCATATTTTGTGTCTTCATAAGAGACCCCAGAAGGAGGCAGGCCAAGGGGCAGGACAGTAACATCTTCTTCAGCATCTCCATGTGACCCCACCACCACCATTAAAGACCCTTTGTACAACTCTAGAATGAGCACCCTGGTCAGGTACTCCATATTGGGGATGGCAAGGCCTCATTGCTTAGCAGGTTCTGTATCACCAAGTCCTGGAATGTGGGTGTGGGCTGGAATTCATCCTGTGGAATCCTATCTGAACATCTGGATGTGGCTTTCAGGGCACTCCGAGTGTCAGCAGGGCCAGGCAGTGACTCCTAGCTCCAGGATTCTTGAACAGAATGGAAATTTTATTATGAGCTTTTCATCTTGCATTCTGATACATACCTGTTGCCTGAAATTTCCTCTTCATTTTGTATATATTCCACAGATTTTTATGATTACCATAAAGATTAAACATAATATCCCAATGCCTATTGCATTATACCAGTCCCACTCTTCCCTCCTGCTATCCTCAGTATAACATTGGGGGGAAATTCTACTCAGAAAGTATTTTTAAAGCAATTAAACATTAAAATATAAAACAACCACAGAAMACTGTGTGCTTACGTATCTTGAGAGTAAGACACAGAAAAGTGATTTCCTATCATTTATTTCAGTTTGTCCTCCAGAATGATTTATCTTATATGCAATTGTAGTACCACCTATCTTCTCCAAATTCTTGGTTTATCCTTTCTGGAAGGACAATGAATATTTTCTGTGCCTCTGAAGATAAGTGTATTTACTAAAAAYATTCCTACATTTTTGCATTCATACAGCTTCTTTGAAGTGTGAATTTTAGTTTATAGTAAGACTTGAGCATTTCCCTCATTCTCTACCATCATAATTCCTCTCCAGTATGAATTATTAAGTTCATTAAAGGATGAAGGCAAAAATAACATGTTTTCCTGTATGTGTGTGTGTGTGTGTGTGTATGCACACATGTGTGTAGGCATGCCCATATTCCTTCCTTTAAAAAATTTTTTTGGGGGGGCACTGGGAATTCAGTCTAGTGGCACTGAATCACTGAGCAACATCCCCAGCTAAGTTACTGAATCTGGCCTCAAACTTGAGATTCTCTTGCCTAAGCTGCCAAAATCACTGGGATTAAAGGCATGGGCCACCTTGCCTGGTGGCATTCCTGTACTTCTGACATTCATGTTTTTGGCCTCTGAGATTTTTAACATATGTAGTGGGACTAAAGCTTTCTTATATCTTATGGGGACAGGGTTTCTCTCCATTTCCTGTTACTTAGCAATATCTGAAGAATCTTTAGCATTTCTTAAACTTGTGAGGTTTCTTACACATAATGCTGTCAAATATTTCTGAAGGCTCTCCCAGATATTTGCATACGTAGCCCCTCTCTCTCTCTCTCTCTCTCTCTCTCTCTCTCTGTGTGTGTGTGTGTGTGTGTGTGTGTGTGTGTGTGTTTGGGGTGCCAGGGATGGAACTCAGGGCCTTATGCATTCTAGGCACTCTACCCTGAGCTACATCTCTAGCCATTCACTGTAAGTTCTCAGGGAAGGGTTTTCTTGTAGACTTCACATTTGAATCCCCATGTGGATATTAATACCTAATCACAAAATTTTACCATATTTCTTAGGCTGGTTATGGTGGCATTTGCCTGTAATCCCAAATATCAGGAGCCTGAGGCATGAGGAAAGCTTGAGCCCAGAAGTTTGAGACCAGCCTGGGCAACATAGCAAGATCCCATCTCAAAAACATAAACCACATTTCTTACAAAAGAGTTATTCTTAAGTGTGGGTTGTTATGTGCTATGAGATCATGTGGATTTGTATGTGTAAAATAAGTCCTGTGGAGTGTGGAGTGAAGGCTTTCCCACATTCCATACACACATAGGACTTCTTTCCACTGTGAATTCTTGTATGATTCATATAATTTCTTCTCCAGTGTGAGTTCTCATATGTAATTTAAGTCCTGTGGATTGAGTGAAGGCTTTGCCATATTCTTTACAGACATAGGGCTTCTCTCCATAGTGAAAAGAATGTCCTATAAGGTACAAAGAGTGAATGAAGGCTTTCTCACATTCCTTACATGCGTATGTTTTTCTCCAATATGAGATCTCATTTGTACTTTACGACATGACTGATTAGAAAAGTTCTCCAACAATCTTTGTATTCATACAATTTCTCTTGTGTATGAGTCTTCTCCTGGCAAGTAGGATTTGGAACCTGGTTGAAGATTTTATGTTGTACACACTTAGTTTTCTCCCCAACATGGTTTCTTTGGGGCAGAAAATGAATTAAGTTCTTTTTAAAGGCTTTCCACCCTGTTTATCCTTAGATGTTCTCTCTCTAATGTAAGTTCTCATGAGTCATAAGAAGTAAGTATTTGCTAAAGACTTTTCCACAATGGTTAGAACCATAGAGTTTCTCTGTAGCAGTGTTTCTTTTCTGTAGATTAAGAGATGAATGATGAATACAGAGTTTTTCACGTTCAGTATAGTAACAGAATGTCTTCCCCATCAGCAACATTTATGTACTGGAAACAACATTATCATGACTAAACATTTTGCTGTTTCTACTATGTATACAGAGTTACTGCCCTGCTTTTGAGATTTGTTTTATTTTGTGTGGTGAGATAATCCAGAGCTTTGAGGACTGAGCTACATACCCCCAACCCTGAATTACTTTATACTGAATAATCTGTGAAGCCAGGAGCCTGTTTACCATCTCTACTTTCACAGAACTTCTTAGAGATTGTATCTGATAATGCCTATATTAATAAATATAGTCATTTAAAATGTTTATCAAAAATGGATTACATAAAATGCATTCTACCTTCAGGTGTAACTAATTAGAACAAGTAAAAAATTCAAGTAAAAGATAGAATACATGAGTTATATGTGGATTTTTTTTGAGGTATCTGAGAAAAAATAGCTTTGAAGTAAGTTTAGAGTGATCCCTTAATTCATGAAATTCAGAGAATCTCTCAGAAACTCTGCTTTCTTTGACTCACATAATCATGGAACTGGTGCTTCGGGTCCTAATGTGGAAGATTTCACTGCTAGAAAATCTTACCAATTATATTCCATTTGATGTTTTCTCTGCAGAAATGTTTTGAAGCTGTGGAGCATCTTTGGTATTAAGTTGCAAATCCAAATCTTAAATAAAAATAGCAGGTTTTTTAAAAAAATGCAGGTTTGGGATAAAGTTGTTTAAAAGCATATGACAGCCAGGCATGGTACTGCATGCCTGTAATCCCAGTGGCTTGGGAGGCTGAGGCAGGAAGTTCACAAGTTTAAATCCATCCTCAAAAACTTAGCAAGGCCTCAATCAACTTAGTGAAAGCCTGTTGCAAAGGAACTACATGCAAAAAATTGAACTTTCAAATAGGCCAGAGGCCTCCCTAAAAATAGAAAAAAGTTGAGAAGATAGGTGGAAATTTAAAGGTAACAGCAAGTTGAAGGCACCCAAGGAAACTCAAAAACCAATTGTCTTAGTCTTCTCAGGRAAAAAGTACACTCAGAATTTACACAGTGATACTTACAATGTACCCCATGTTTCCCAGACTAGCAACTCCTCTTCATAATACCATATTTACTTGTGACCTCACCCTTCAGAGCCCTTCTTCCTCCTGTCCTCAGCTTTCCCCCTCTGTCCAATTGATGGAATTGGATTTACATAATTTGGACCTTTTTTGAGGGAAAACACACAAAGAGAACTGGGCAAGATATGACAGCCATCTCTGTGAATCAAGAAACCACACCTCTACTTTCAGGACTTCTGAAGATGATCAAGTCTAACTTTGCAAACAGCAAACTAATCATGCAGCATTTTCAATAATGTAGTAAAGCTAATTTAAAAGGAACAAAAATGTAAACATAGTCTCTCTGTGTGCCCTCAAATGACTGGGGAGCTCTAAGACCTAAGAACCATGAATTTTATTCATATTTAAAGGTTTACAGTTTTTAATCACATAAAAGAAAATCATTTATTTAATGAAGTCTTCATGGGTAACCCTCTGCACACTAATGCCCATTGGCCAAGGTCTGTGTCTGTGCTTGCAGCAGGGATGGGGTAGACACTGGGGATTGAACCTAGGAACACTCCACCACTGAGCTATATCCCCTGTCCTTTTTATTTTTTTGAGACAGAATCTCACTAAGTTGCTGAGGTAAGCTGCAAACTTGTGATCCTCCTGAGTTGCTGGGATTACAGGTATATGCCACCATGCCTGACTATGTCGGGTTTTTTTGTTTTGTTTTGTTTTTTAATCACAGCATTCCCATTTCACAGCAAGCATTTAAGAAACATTCATTTCATAAAGGGCTCAGTGGAGACATGATGCCAGCCTTACCCAGTGTAACAAGATTCCTGTAGTCCTCCAGCATCACATCTCTGTAGAGAGCTCTCTGTGTTTGATCCAACAAAGTCCATTCCTCCTGGGTAAAGTCCACAGCCACATCCTCAAAGGTCACTAAATGCTAAACCATCAAATACATACTGGCTTTAGCTAATTACCATCTTCTTTGGTGTTCCAAGAAAGGTGCATGAGGGACGGCACTCTTGGGCCTCAGATCTTTTCTCTTCTCTACATATCATCGCTGTCTGGTGGTTCCATTCGGTCACATGGATTACCAGTATCGCTGACCCATGTCTAAATGTACCTTACCATAACTCTACTGTGGGTTCTCATCTTATTCTTCCTCTATTTTTAGGTCGTAGTTAACACTGAAGACATTGCAGCATTCTGTAAAGACTGGTAAATGAATTATTCCCACAATGACATACATATTCCTTCAGATTGGACACCTTCGTCTTTTTATTATTATGTGATGTAACACTTGGAAAACAATAAGCCAACAAACATAACTGAGGATCAGAAAAAAAATAGTAAAGGATTGGGGGTAGCTCAGGGGCACAGCTTATGCTTCGACTGTGTGAAGCCCTGGGTTTGATCCCTAGCACAAAAAGAAAAAAAAAGAAATAGGAAATACTGAGATAAAAGAATCATTGCCAATATACTCCCTGTATAGACTAATGTATGGTTCCTGGAGAAACTCACCTGGGAACTCACTCAATCCCTGAGGAGTGCTCTAACTACTTAACACACTTACATACATGAGAAGGGCAAAGGCTACCTGAAGGAAACATGCATGACATTTTAAAGAAAGAACTACTTTCCATTTGCCTGAGAGGAATCCATCAGTAACCCAGCCATCATCCTTGCCTCCTTTAGGTTCCTCTCACAAAGACAAAAAGGTTCCTGAGAAAGATATCTAGAGAAAAGAATTAGGGCATGAAATTTTCAAGTCTTTCCTCAGTAGCAACAATCACATGCCAATATACTATTCCACACAACACGGAGAACACACTAGACACAATAGTTCCACACAATGCCAAAGTGGTTCTGAGTTACCTAGAATAAGAAAAGGGTTATCTGCATCTTCTCACCTTTGAAGTAGAGGAGATTAATTTCATTTTATAGTTATACAAATTAAAGCACAGATAGGCGGAGCTGCTTATTCACCAGACACGATAACATTCACAGATTGTTATCCCCAAAAAAGCACATATGTGCTCATTTTTGCATTCCAAATTCTAGGAACCTGAGCTGTAGATACCCTGGTTCATTTCAATACCTTTTGCAAGGCTCACTGTGACTACTCCTGAGCAATGGGTCCATCATCTGTGAAGGAGCCTCACAAAGTAGATGATTTGAAAAGAAGCATCAACAAGGACTCACCACATATAAGTTAGATCAATGACTGCCATTCTGTGGCACTGATAGTGAAATTCTCCAGGACATTCCATTTCTTGCTCAGAAGAATCCTGTGAATTTAAATTAATAGATTGATCTTGATTTCTCAGTACATTACTGGCTGGGTAACTGGGTTAATATCATCAATCACTAAGCCTCAGAGGTTTCTCCTTGATCATGAAATATTACTCATTAGTCCTCTCTGCAAATAAGACAAGCACCAACCATTAAAGCTACCACTATCCCAGGCAAATATTAATAATAACAATTGACATTTAATTAGCACCTGTTAGGAATTCTACATTTATAACATCCTTTCAAAGTCTAACAGCTCTACAAATTAGGTCTGAACACTGTTGTTTTATATCTGAGAATGCTAAGGATCTGACAGAATCAGTAATTGTCCTATATTCTCCAGCCAGGAAGAGGCAGGCGAGGATTAAATGACAGGTTAGTGTGTCAAAAGCCTTATCTCCCGGGTTGTTATCCCTGATATGACTAGAATTCACTCCAGACCTTTGCTAGGCATATGAACAACACAATATAAAAGGCTTTATGGAATTTGGAAGGTCCCGGATATGCTCTGTTGGACCTTGGATGGATTTGAAACCTTTGCTTTCCCTTCAGTCTATTAGCAAACATTCATTAAGGTCCTTCACTGAGGCAGGCAGGTACCAGGTGCTGAGTGTAACTCTTAGGGATCTCTAATTTCAGTAGGCCACAAATAACTGATTTATCAGTTGCAGATGAGTAGTATGGTTTTATTTTTTTAAAATCCCAATAAACTATAAGAAATATCACACACACACAAAGAAGGGTTCACGCACCTGTAATCCCAGCAATTTGGGAGGTGGAGGCTTTAAGAATCACAAGTTCAAATCCAGCCTCAGCAACTTAGTGAGATCCTAAGAAACTCAGCAAAACACTGTCTCTGAATAAAATATGAAAAAGGGCTAGGGTCACTGGGGTTGTGGCTCAGTGGTAAAATGCTTGCCTACCATGGGTGAGGCACTGGGTTCAACCCTCAGCACCACATAAAAATAAATAAATAAATAAAGGTATTGTGTCCATCTACAACTAAAAAAATATTTTTTTTAAAAAGGGCTGGGGGGCTGGGGATGTGGCTCAAGCGGTAGCKCGCTCGCCTGGCATGCGTGCGGCCTGGGTTCGATCCTCAGCACCACATACCAACAAAGATGTTGTGTCCACCCAGAACTAAAAAATAAATATTAAAAATTCTCTCTCTCTCTCTCTCTCTCTCTCTCTCTCTCTCTAAAAAAAAAAGGGCTGGGGATGTGGCTCAGTGGTTAAGTATCCCTTCAATCCTCAGAGAGAGAAAGAGACAGACAGACAGACGGACAAAGGCAGAATAGGAAAATAATCATATTGGACCCAAAGATACTTGAACTTGAATATTATGGTTTCATGAGTCAAAATTCATTTCTTATGCTGACCATTTCAACAGGGTCTGAATCATGTCGAATTTTATGTTCAAATTGAAGTAGCTTTATTTTACTCATAGTTATAAATAATACAATAAAACAGTTTCATCTTTTTATCTTCTTCTTATTGACCAGTAAGTACTACTTTTGCCCAGTAAGTACTGGTTCTTTAAAATTTTTTGTAGGTGTAGATGCACAGAATGCCTTTATTTTATTTGTTTATTTTTATGTGGTGCTAAGGATAGAACCCAGTGCCTCACACATGCTAGGCAAGTGCTCCACCACTGAGCTAAAGCTCCAGCCCTAAGTATTGGTTTTATTATAATTCATGGTTTCATACACTTTATTCTCCCTATTTCTCATTCTCATTTTGAAATGTTTATACTTAGTTCTATTTCTTGAACTTCTCTCACTGAGTTACAGTATATATACAACAGAAGGAGGCAATCCAGAGTAAGAATTTCAGTAAATTGTCAAGAAATGAATTGTCCCATAAAGCCACCATTTGGGTCAAGAAATAGAACATTCCTATATCCCACATCTCAAATCTGTCTTTTGCCTCCTAGTCAAAACCACTACACTGACATCTTACACTCTAGTTGATTTTGTCCATTTTTAATTTTTAAAGAAACACTATGCATTTTTTGTGTCTGGCTTTTCCCATTTAACATGTTTGTGAGGCTCTTCCAAGTTGTTGCATCTATCTACTGGTGGTTTGTTCTTTCTCTTGGCTGAATAGCGTGCCATAGAAAAAATATGCCACAATTCACACACTGTCCTGTTGATCCATATTTCAGTTGTTTCCAACTTACAGTTATTTCAAATGATGCTCCTCTGATAGTCTTTATATGTATTTTGGTGCACATGTACATGCATTACTGTTGCATTATGAACACTTCCTATTTAGTTGCTACTGTTCAAAAATGTGCTTCTACCAGCAATGTGTGCAAATCTTAACCAACCCTTGCTAAGATAATTCATTTTAGTTGTTTTGTGGTTGTTTTTCAGGACTGGTGTTTGAATCCAAGAGTTCTCCCACCTGCGAGGCAAACACTCGACCACTGAGTTACATCCCCAGGTGTTTTTWTTTATTTATTTATTTGAGACAGGGTCTTACTAAGTTGCCCAAGTGGGTCTCAGACCTGCAATCCTCCTACCTCAACCTCCCCACTAGCTAGGTTTACAGGCATGTGCCAACTATATCAAGTTGTCACTCATGCAGTTTTACTTGTAGCTGTTCAGTTATGTGTGTAGTRCAGTCACTTTATGGTTTGGACTTGCCCTTACTTGGTTATTGATAATGAATGAGCACCTTTCCTTATTGTTGTTGTCCATTTAGGCATTTTCTTTATGGAAGAGGCTATCCAAATCCCTTGCAAATTAATCTCCTGGGATTTGTAGTAAATTTGTAGGAATTATAATTCCTTTATTGTTACATGTGAGGCAAGTAACCAAGTATTTATGGTCAAACACCATATCCATAATGTCACGATCTCATAAACATTTATCTACACACAAAGAAGGAGATGTAGTAACAGTGACAGCCTCTTCCCTCCAGGCTGGAAGACCAAATCATTCAGAGTGGCTCCCCACATTCAAGTATTTATATGGCCTTTTAAAAATCTAGCTCAAGGTGGTGACTGCTTTAGAGAAGAGCCCTGGAGCCGAGAAAGTAGGTTCCTCCCCCTCCTCCTTTGGACTTAGCATCTGTAGAAAGCTCCAGACGCTACACGGGAAGAAGCCACCCTGATGTTCCTCATTCCACAGGCCATCTGGCCCCCTCTCTGGGTCTCTTCTGTGCTGCAGCGAGGAGGATGCATAGTCCCAGCTTGCTCCTCTTTTCTTCCTGGGTCTCTTCAGGCTTTGTCTTCTGCCCATCCAGGGCCACTTGTCCCAGGACAGTCAAGATTTTTTTTATGAAGTTTCTTCTGGGCAGAGGCTACCAGGTCTGGGGCCTCCCCACCTCCCGCCCCCACGCAGGCAAGGTTGGGCACAAGAGCCTGGGGGCAGACCTGAGGGAGTTTTGGGGTGTGGTGGCTGCCAGTCCTGCTGTCCCTGCCACTCCAGCCGTCCTTCACCTTGGGGTTCCGCACCCTGTTGGTGGGGGCGCGGGTAGCTGCTGAGCTGGGGGCCCCACTCATACATTCCAGGCCCTGATGCACCTGCCCTGACCTCCCGGGGAAGGTGGCCTAGAGGCTGAGAGGCAGGGGAACAAACCAATTCAGCTAGGCTCTGCCTCGGTCCCGTCCGTGCCTCTGAGGCTGCCCACCCCCACACACACACCTTGGGGTACCTCCCTCTCTCTCTCTCTCTCTCTCTCTCTCACACACACACACACACACACACACACACACACCCCTTTGGGTCCTTCGCTCCACTCACCAGGGGAAAGGCACATATCCCAGCCCCTCCTCAGCCTCCTGGCACCAAAGAGCGGCTTCCCAGTCCCTTCCTGTGGCTGTAGCTGCCTCCCTCCGCACAACCACAGGCTGGGGCGGGGGCTCTGGAATGAGCGGGCGCCACTGCCAGCTGGGAGGGTGGCAAGGAGAGGAGGGCGGCCGCAGCTGCGGCTCCTCCAGGTGGGTGCAGAGGTCTGGGCGCCCGGGCTGGGTCTCTGCCCCCTCCTGTCACGCCCCAGGGCAGCGGTGGCTGTGGACCCGCAGCGCTTCGAGCTGGGCGAGGAGCTTGGGCCTCACTCCAGAGGGGCCGTGGGGGCGGGGATGGTGGGGGGGCAGCTAGAATAGAGTCCTTTAAGACATTTTTTCCCCCATCGGGTTGGGAGTGTAGGTCAGTAGTAGTAGAGCACGTGCTTAGCAGGTGTAGGATCCTAATTCGATCCCCAGCACTGCAAAATCCTCTCCTCATCCACATCGTTCACAGTCAGAGTTGCTCTGTTGTGCCTCCTCGTTCCTGTTGATTCAAGGATACTTCATGGTTAATGCTATCCCATGTTCATCCCAGTAAAAAGCTTCTCCCTATAAGAATTCTGTAAGCTGGGTGTGGAGGAGCACCCATAATCCCAGCTACTAGGGAGCAGGGTAGAGAGGAGAGTACAGCAAGTTTGAGGCCAGCCTGGGCAATATATCCAGAGCCTGTCTTTAAAATAATAATAATAATAAGCCACTGGACACCTGTAATACCAGTGATTGGGAGGCTGAGGCAGGAGGACTGCAAGTTTGAGACCAGCCTCAGCAACTTAGTGAGATCATGTCTYGAAAAATAAAAAGGTTGGGGGTGAAGCTCCATGGTTAAGTGCCCCTGGGTTAAATCCCCAGCAATCCCCACCCACCCCCCAAACTTTATGTTTTTTTTGTTTTTGTTTTTGTTTTTGTTTTTGTTTTGAGACAGGGCCTTGCCAAATTGCCCGTGCTGGGCTTGAATTTATGAACCTCCTGCCTCTGCCTCCTGAGTTGCTGGGATTACTTGGTTTACGCCTGAACAGAAAAAATTAAAATGGGAATAGCAAAAAATAATTCATTCACATTGCAATAAAATTAAGTATAAAAATTAAAACATATGTTTCTGCAATAATCAGAATGCCAAGAATCAGTGTAAAGATCCTCTCAGGATTAAGAAATGTTCAGTCAATCTAAAGAATATCCTAAGACAAGGGAGATGCCATTGATTCATTTACTTACCAGCTGTTAAATTAATACTGTCCACTGGAAACAAGTGATGAGTTGCTCTAATTCCAGCACCTGGGAGGCTGAGGCAGAATTGAAAGTTTGAGGTCAGTCTCACCACTTAGCTAGATTCTGCCCTCTGAACAATTTTGTGAGGCCCTGTCTCAAAAAGGACTGGGGATGTAGCTCAATGGTAAAATCCCTCTGGGTTCAATCCCCAGGAGCCCCAAAATAAAAAAAATAAGTTGATATACATGCAAATTGGACCTATTTAGTTTTGTACAGTGAAAATGCAAATTATGAAGTGAACTTACAGAATGAAATATGGATACAGATTTACAAAAATGACAGATAACACATATGCATGTAAAAACAACTAGTTTCATTTAAATTTTCCTTTATTTGTTATGTGGGTCTTTGGGAAGATGAGGGACATGTTTTGATTTAAATCACAAATGTAAACCAGAGTATCCAGATGATAAAGTTGATACCCAGCAAATAGTTCTTTTCACTTTATCTCAAACAAGGGTGAAGAGATAGACATATAGGTTTTCTCATATTCCTGTTGAGATGTTAATGATTTACATGGCAATTCAGGTAATATTCTACCTCCTACTAGTGGTTTTACATTCCATCCCAAGCAGCTGCTTTTTGAAACTAACCATAAAATCTTCTGTACTGAAAGTTCTCATAAACAAGAAAAACACTTTCTGGCTGGATATGTAGCTCAGTGGTAGAGTGCTTGCCTACCATGCTTAAGGATCTAACCCCTTAGCACTGTAAAAAACAAAATCAAAAACATATTTCTGTCTCACTGTATCTTTGGGTTGTAGCATCTTCCCACTGCTTGGGCTAGGGATGGGAGTAGATAGCAACAGTTTAACAGATGAGAAAACAGACCCACATAATTATAATTATATATAATTATATTTACACATAATATTTCCACTTCATTCCCAGCAAAATGCTGAAGGAATTTAGAAAATGTAAATTTCTGAGGGAAGAATAAACAGCAAGTGCAAAGGCCGTGAGATAGGAGAGTGTTTGACCTCTTTAATCAACAGCGGAACCCTCAGTGTCTGAAATGGTTTGAGTGAATTGTGGATTAGGTCGAAGGTAAACTACCAAGAAGAGTAAAATCAGAGAAGTCACAGAGTCAGATCATAACAGGGGCACCTGAGCAACTCTAAAAATGTTGAGTTTTACTTTGATTGCAATGGGGAGCCACTGAAGGAAAGGCCTGGAGTTAAAAATGCAACATTATCTGAAACATTTTTAAAATATCTCTGTTATTTGTGAACTCTAGGGAAGCAAAGGTATGATATGGAAGAATAGCTAGAAAGTTAAGGAGAAAGTGGTTTGGAGGATGAGAGGGTGGGAAGTTGTCTGATGCCAAAGTGAAGACAGTCAATAGCTGTTTAAGATGTATTTTGGAATCATTCATGATTCCAAGGATTTAGTTCATTTGTCTGTTTTGCATTGTCAATTGAAAAGAACTCTGGACATTGGTAAATAGAGACTTCAATTAAAAAAAATTCCATTTCAAGAGGAAGAATAGGCCTGGGATGTAGGTCAGTGGTTAGCAAATATTGATTTCAGTGTTTTGTGGATAAGGTTAAATTAGAACCTGGGTTTAATCCTTCAGAGAGAGAGAGAGAGAGAGAGAGAGAGAGAGAGAGAGAGAGAGGGAGAAAGAAAAAGAGAGAGAGCTTATTGCAACAGGTGGAAGGGTATTACTACAATAAGAACACACAGAAATATCTCAAAGATTAGTAGAAAGGGGCTTTTTTTTTTTTTTTTTTTTTTGCAGAAAGAAGTAAAAAAGCTCAGAGAATGTCTTTTTGTTTAAGGAGTAGATGTTCTCAACGTCCACATTGGTTTCCACTGAGGATATTGAGGATTGAGGTCCTCATGGGAAGAAAGAAGCTTAACTGACTGTCTTCCTTAAAACCCCTGGGAGCCATGTCCTGCAACGTAAACCCCAAGGAAGATCTGTTCTTGCTCCTGTGACAAAATGCAGCCAGCATTCAGTATCCATGGAGAGCTGCATCTGTGGATTCAATCAAAGTTGGACAAAGAACACATGAAAGTGTAATTGTGTCTGACTACAGTGAACAGGTTCAGACTGTGTGTTGAGGGGTGGGTACTGAGGATTGAACTAGGGGCATGCTACCAGTGAGCCACGTGCCCAGTCCCTTCCATTTATTTATTTATTTGTTTGTTTGTTTATTATGAGAGAGGGTCTTGATAAATTTCCCAGATTGGCCTTGAATTTTAAATCCTCCTGCTTCAGAGCTCCTTCTAGAATTGCAGGTGTAGGACACCATGACTAGACATAGACATTTTTTCCTTGTCTTTATACACTAAACAATACAGAATAACAGTAATTTATGTGACATTTATATTGTTATCATAAGTAACCTGGAGATTACTTACACAGGAGGTTCTTGCCAATACTTATGTAAGGGACATAAGCTTCTGAAGATTCTGGTATCTGTGAGGGATTCTAGAATCATCCCCTGTGGATAAAGAGGAATGAATAACAGAAATGTTTTCCTAACAGTTGTGGAAGCTGGGAAGTCCAAGATCAACCATCAGCAGTTTTAATGTCTAGGAGGGCTTCCTGGTTCATAGTGCATTCTGTATCCTCACATGGTGGAATGGGCAAGAGTCTCTTTGGGGCTTTTTTTAAAATTTTTTTTTAGTTGTCAATGGATCTTTATTTATTTATATGCAGTGCTAAGAATCAAACCTTATGCCTCACACATGCTAGGTAAGTGCTCTACCACTGAGTCACAACCCCAGCCCAGGGCTTTTTTTTTTTTTTAACCCTCTGGGGATTGAATCCAGGTGCACTTTATTACTGAGCTTTATCCCCAGCCCCCACTTTTAAAATCTGAGTCAGGATCTCACTACATTGCTGAAGGCCCCACTAATTTGCTGGAGCTGGCCTTGAACTCGTGATCCTCTTGCCTGAGCCTCCATTGTTGCTGGGATTACAGGAATGCACTACCATGCCCAGTTGAGACTGTTAAGTCCTTAGGCCAAAGTAACTTCATTTTGAAAATCAGCACCCACCATCCTAAGAAGCCCACCCAGGCATGACCTTCTTGTTAAGCCCGCCTCCAAGAGTCCCTAATTGCCAAAATCAAAACAAAGATGCCGAGTAACAATCACAGGACCCGATGGGTTATTTTTTAACTGTTTCCTTGTACTTGACTATATAGTTAAGAAGTATTTCCCAGCAGGCGGCTGCGCCTGGCAGAAGGGCAGCCTGGCAGATATTCTCTGTCAATAAACCTTTGCTTGACTCAGAGCTGTCTCTCTCGTGGTCATTTGTGCCAGCTACCCTAATAGAGGCCTCTTGAAAAGGGCACTAGTCCCATTCCTGAGGTCCCTGTCCTCATGACTTAATCACCTCCTAACGCCCCCCCCCTTGGGGGCTAGAATTTCAACATATAACTGTAGGGGATTATATGTGTTCTCCAAAGGTCTGTGTGTTAAAGGCTTGGTCCCCAGGGTATACTGTTCCTAGCTGGTGGAATCTTTAGGTGATAGGGTAGTATTAGGGGCATGGTCTTGAATAGGATTATGTCCAGGGCCTTTTTCTCTTTTGCTTCCTGGCTCATGTGGTGAGCTATTTGCTCTACTGTATGCTCCCTGTCATTGGCATCCAACACCCTAACCAGAGCCCCCCAAACAATGGATCTGCCTGATCTTATCCCACAACCTCCAAAAACATAAGCCAAAATAAACTTGCAGAGCCCAACTGTATCAATCTGTTTTTCATTACTATAACAAAATGACAGAGGCAAAGCTAACTTCATAATGGAAAAAAGGGCTTATTTTCAGTTCTAGAGGTTCAAGGACGTGATGCCTCCATTAACGTGCCTCTGATACAAACCTCATGGCTAATGATGTCTAATGGCATCAGCATGTCAGGAAGGAACAAGTCTTGTCATCAAAAAGAAGCTAGAGAGGTTAGAGTCCTACAATCCCTACTAAGTCCTTCTCACTAAGCTCCATCTTTTTTCTTTTTGTAGTGCTGAAGATCAAACTCAGGGCCCCATGCATACCAGGAAATTGCTCTACCACTGAGCCACATCCCCAGTCCTAACTCCATCCTTTGAAGGTCCCACCACCTCTCACATTGCCTCCCTAGGGACCAAGCTTCCAACACATGAACTCTTGGGGGACAAATTCAAACCTTATCCAAACCATGGTAACATGTGTGGCTGATGTGGACCCTCCATCATATTCCCCCAAATAGAACCCAGTTCTCCTGACAGCCTCCATCAGCAAAACAGGCCTRATTTTATTTCCCTCCCCAGCCCCCGCAGCTGTGAAAACGCCAATCTCTGTGCTCTAACTTGGCTCAATCCTGTCTCCCAAACGTCCTGGGCTAGAGCTGCTAGGTTTGGTCATAGCTTTGGACAATAAGACCCTAACCATGGCCTCATGGGGGCATACCCACACCCCAATCCTGGCAAGACAGAAGGAATTTCTATTCCAGCCAAGTGGGAATAGCAGGAAGAAACATGTCCAGCTCCTCTGATGGGTGAGCTTGGAATAAGGAATCAGCAGACCCAGCCCAGCCCTCTTCTCTCAGTCCTGGCCCTGCCTGCCAGGCAGGTGATGAGCCCCCAGTCTGGGGCTTAGCCACACACCCTCAGACCCGGTTCAGAAGGGGTCAGAAGTAACACTCATCTCATGGGCAAGCAAATGCTCGGGCTCTTACCACCTGCGTCCTTCAAGTGGTTCTGACTTAAAAGACAGGAAAAGAGTTGTTACTTACCGAAACCCTAACACCTGAGCCACCTGTGAGGCCCTGCCTGCCCTTCCCCCATTGCTCTCCAACCTGGCTTTCTCCTCCCTGCTCACTCTGCCCACAGACCTTCTTCCCATTACTGGAAAATGCCAAGTTTTTTCCCACCTCAGGATCTTTTTTCCCCAGCTTTCCCTGCAGCTGGTTTACCACTTAGATATCTGCCAAGAGGCTCAACCCTGCCCTCTCTACCAAGCACCCATGCCTCCATCACATAACCTTGGTTAATTGTCTCGGAGGCTCCAAAATTATTCCAAGAACCTGTTCACACCCCGCCTTCTCCTCTTGGAGCTGTACAAGAACTTTTGTTTTGCTCACTGCTGCGGCCCCAGTACCAAGAATGTTGCCTGCCAAAACAGGAAGTGCTTAAGGAATGAATAAACTGAATGCTTTCTTGAAAAAAAATTCATTATTTTTCTTTAATAGCAAAATAATATCTGCTGTGGAAAACTTGGAAAAGGTAGAAAATACAGAAAATACAACTGAGAACCTTCATGAACATTTTGATTATGAATGGCAAGCCTCATTTGCCCTTGATCTCTGTGCCTCTTGTGTGTACATATAGAAATGGTGCACAGGCGTGTGGGTACACATGTATAGTCTTTCCAGGTATCACTGGAGGAACTTGGCCCCTCAGGTCCTTCTAGCTCTTAATTCCACCCATCTGGTTTGAGGACAACTCTGAGGATGACCTGGAGAATGACCTTCATCAAGGGCTTCTGAGGGCGGGGGCTGTCAGAGTAAGGCTATGCAACACAATCCTGAGGTAGCTCGGATCTCTATTTGTAGATGTGAGAACTGGGCCTCCAGAGGCAGGCTGCTGAGGCTGAGGCCACACAGCTGGCCAACGATTCCCACTGTCTGGAGGCCCAAGGCCTTCACTGTCTCCTCCTGTCACCTTCAGTTCCCTCAAGCCCCATAAGCTGCCCTCTTCAATTTGCTGCTCAGAGGGTCTTTCATCAAGGGCTTTCACCAACTGTGAAAGCTGGGACAGTGGCACAGTTACATCCACCAGTCCATGGACTCTTTGGGGCAGGCCCTAACAATGACCATACAGTGGGGCAGCCCCTTACACAGGATCCTCTCAGCCTCCTGACCCTCCCAGCCCAGCCCCTGCAGCTCAAGCACTCTGAGTTTGGGCATGGTGAGGCAGGAGGAAACAATTTCAGCTGGAGTGGGCATTTCTGGGGTGATGAGGGGGCCCTGTAAGCACAGACTCTCCAGGGCTGGCATTCCTTCCAGGACAGCCAGGCCAGGAGCAGAGAGGCCCCCAACGGTCAGCCGGATCTTGCGCACACCTCGGAGGTGGCGGCTGATGGCCAGCAGGGTGCTGTCCGCTGAGAGGGTGCAACCTAGCATCTCGAACCTCTGCAGGTAGCTGAGCTCCTGCAGGCTGGTATCCAGCCCCGTCTGGGTCACACGGTAGGTGCCACCTAGCACCAGAGAGCGCAGGGCCCGGAAACGTGTCAGGCCCTGCAGGTGCTCGTCACGGAAGGCAGGGACACGGTCCAGCACGATGCATTCGAGCAGGGGCAGCACGGTGGGGTCCTGCTCCTTAAGGAGCCAGGCCATGGAGATCTCACAGCTGTGCAGCTCCAGGGTCCTCAGGGTGCAGGGCAGGCTGGTGATGGGTACCATGCTCAGGTCAGCCACGTGCAGGCAGAGGCGCTTCAGGTTGGGGCACTTCTGGCCCAGGGCTTTCAACAGGGCAGGGGACAACTGGGGGGCCTGAGAGCCAGAGAAGAGGTAGCCACCCATCCGCAGGGAATGGAGCCGAGATGCCATGTATCGGCGAAGGAGGTGCCACATGACTTTAGGCCGCATCTGTAAGAGCCAGAGGTTGGGGTGACTAGGTGAGAGGTACAGGGTTCCCAAGGCCCCTGACTACTTGTGGCAGGGGTTTGGGTGTTTCCCTGGGTTTCTGCCCTTCCACATCAGCCTCCTCCCCAGGAACAGCAGGAGGGTCTGACTTCACTATTCTGACTGCTAAAGTCCGGCGTGTGTGTGTGTGTGTGTGTGTGTGTGTGTGTGTGTGTGTGTGTGTGTGTGTCTCGGGGTTGGGTTCAAATAGATCAGAACAGATGGAGCAGGGAAACAAAATGAACCACCCCTCTATAAGCCTTTCTTCATAACCACCTCTGGGAGAGAGAAACCACGGAGAATAAAGCTGAAAAAAAAGATAAAAAACAGTCACAGCCTAGTAACAATCAGAGCTGCCTGACCCTGGGAAATTAACAGAACACAAGCAGAGCCAGGTGGAGTAGTATACCCCTTATCCTAACTCCTTGGGAGGGTGAGGCAAGAGGATCTCAAGTTCAAGGCCAGCCTGAGAAACTCAGTGAAACCCTGTCTTAAAAAAAGGTCTGGGGGTATATGTAACTCAAGTATAGAGTGCTTGCCCAGTAAGTGCGAGGTCCTAGGWTTATTCCCAGTACAGCGGAATGAAATAAAGCAAAATACAATTGAAAACCCAGTTCACTTCACTGTATGTACATATTACCTTAAAAAGAAATTGACTTCAGTGTAGCTCAGTGGTAGAGCAACTCATCTGGCAAGCATGAGGCCCTGGATTCAATTCCTAGCATTATGCAGATTTTTTTTTTTTTTTTAGAGTGATGGAGGAGAGAGAGAGAGAGAGAGAGAGAGAGAGAGAGAATTTTTAATATTTATTTTTTAGTTTTCGGCAGGCACAACATCTTTGTTGGTATGTGGTGCTGAGGATCGAACCCGGGCCGCACGCATGCCAGGCGAGCGCGCTACCACTGAGCCACATCTCCAGCCCCAAGATTTTTTAAAAAAAGGAAACGTATAGCATATAATCTATCTATGGTTCTGGGTATTGGATCCAGGGCCTTGTGCATGCTAAGGACATGCTCTACCAGCTTCATACCCAGTCTACTGGGTATAAATTTTGTTGACTACTTTTGACACAGGAATCAAATCTTTGTGGCTAAAATTATGGAACCAGCCCAGGTGCTCCATCAATAGATGAATGGATTAAGAAAATGTGGTATATATACACAATGGAGTCGTACGCAGCCATAAAGAATGAAATTTTGGCATTTACCAGTGGATGGAACTGGAGAACATCATGCTCAGTGAAATAAGCTAGACTCAGAAAATCAAGAGTGGAATGTTCTCTCATATGCAGAAGCTAAAGCAAAATAAGGGGGGAAATGGGGTGGATTGGATATCAGTGGTGATACAGGGAAGATCAGTAGAATAGAGGAGATTGAGAGAGAGGGAGGACGTACGGGAAAGGGGTGGAAATGTGGAATGAATCTAACAACTCATGCCATGTGCAAATAAAAATATACCATAAAAAATTCCACCTTTATGTATATGTCAAAAGCACCAATCAAAAATAAATAAATAGGGCCTGGGGTTGTAGCTCAGTGGTAGAGTGCTTGCCTCACACGCATGAGGCACTGGTTTCAATCCTCAGCACCAGGTAAAAATAAATAAATAAAATAAAGATATTGTGTCCATCTACAACTAAAAAAAAAAATATTTTAAAAATAAATAAATAACCAGGCGCAGTGCCGTATGCCTATAATCCCAGGGGCAAGGGAGGCTGAGACAGGAGGACTGCAAGTTCAAAGGCAGCCTCAGCAAGTAGCAAGGCCCTTAGCAACTCAGCGAGACCTGTCTCTAATCAAATATAAAAAGGATTGGGGATATGGCTCAGTGGTTGAGCACCCCTGGGTATAATCCCCTGTACCRAAAATAAATAAATAAAAAATAAGTAAATGGAAGATTTGTAGGGCAGAGGAAGAAGAATGGGGGAGGGAGGAAGGGTAGGAAGGTGATGGGCACCACGGACTGAAATGGAATAAATCAAAATCCGTACATGCATGATTTTTTTTTAGTTGTAGATAGACACAAAAGCGTTATTTATTTTTATGTAGTTCTGAGGATCGAACCCAGTGCTTCATACGTGCTAGGCAAGTGCTCTACCACTGAACCATAACCCCAGCCCCATGCATGCATGATTTTGTCCAAAGAACCCGATTACTATGTATAACTATAATGCTCTAAAAATTACAGCAACTTAGCAAGAGCCTGTCTCAAAAGATTTGGGGATGTGGCTCAGTGGAAAAGTGCCTCAGGCTAAAGCCCCAGTACCAAAACCCAAACCAAACAAACAAAAAAAAAAACAAAATTCTTGGCCAAATTTAGACCAGCAAGTCAGGTCCCTGGAAACTAACTCGTTAGAAATACTGGCTACTAACCAGAACCTCACAAGGGTAGAAGCTATGGTTAGCAAAATTTGAATTGGGCAAAAAGCCAATGGACAAAGTTAATTTTTTATAACTTTATTATTTATTTTTATTGTTTATGTGGTGCTGAGGATTGAACCCAGTGCTTCATATATGCAAGGAAAGCACTCTATCACTGAGCCACAACCCCAACCCTGACAAAGTTAATTTTTATTTAAAAGATGATATTTAAGAAAACTCTTTAAGTTTCACAACATCAAATGTGAGTCAGGATGCTGAGAGGCAGCTTTTCTCATGATCTGCTGTGGAAACTTCTTTGGGAAGCAATATGGTAGTTTTTTCAGAAATATAGAATGCAGGAAACCACTAACACCTGCTTTGTTTTGAAAGAACACAGTTGACGCTCTGTAACCATGGGTTCTACATCAGTGGATCGAACCAATTGTAAGTTAGAATATGCTGGGGGAAGAAAAGCTACATCTCCAGCCCTTTTTATATTTTGAGACAGGGCCTCACTAAGTTGCTGACGCTGTCCTTGAACTTTCAATCCTCCTACGTCAGCCTTCTGAGCTGCTGAGATTACAGGTATGAGCCACTGTGCCCAGCTCCTGTGGAAATTTTTTTGAAATATATTTTTTTAGTTGATCTTTATTTACCTATTTTTATGTGGTGCTGAGGATTGAACCCAGTGCCACACACGTGTGAGGCAAGCGCTCTACCACTGAGCTACAACCCCAGCCCTCCTATGCAATTTAAATCATCTCTGAATGACTTATTATAACTATAGAATGTCAATGCTAGAAATTAATTGTTATACTGTATTGTTTATAGAGAATGATGACAAAAAAAAACTAGACTGTACATTTTCAATGCCTCCAAATTTAATACCCGGTACCAAAAAAAGAAAAAAGAAAAAGAAATAAAATCTACAGGAGGATGTGCATTGATTCTATGCAAATGCTACACCATTAAAAAAAATGTTTTGCAGTTATAAATGGACAGCATGCCTTTATTTTGTTTATTTTTTATGGGGTGCTAAGGATCAAACCCAGTGCCTCATACATGCTAGGCAAGCTCTCTGCCACTGAGCTACAGCCCCAGCCCCATACACCATTTTTTTAAAAGGGACTTGAGCATCTAAGAAATTTGGAATCTGAGGGGATCCTAGAACCAATCCCTAGCAGATACCATGGAACAACTGTTTATGTGTTTGTGTTCCTAGGATACAAAAGCAAACAGGAACCTGGAGCAGTGGCACATGCTTTTTTTCTCAGAAGCTTAGGAGGCTGAGGCAAGAGTATAGAGAGAAAATTTAGTGAGACTCTTGTCTCAAACAAACAAWCTAAAAAACCTAAAAAACAAATTATGGTACTGGGGATTGGACCCAGGAAAGCTTTACTTATGAGATATATCCCCAGATCTTTTTATTTTTTATTTTGAGACAAGATCTTGATAAGTTGCTGAGGCTGGCCTCAAACTTTCCATCCTCCTGCCTCAGCCTCTGGAGTTGCAAAACTTATAGGTGTGTGCCCCCATGCCCAGCCAAAATTTTAAAAAATTTTAAAAGGGCTGGGATATAGTTCACTGACAGAGCATCCCTGGATTCAATCCCCATAACCCCCCCCCACAAACTCCATTTCCCCACCACCCCCCTGCACACAGGCAAGTAAGCAAATAGCAACATCTGCTGCCTCTGGCAGAAAGAACAAGGTAAGGTGAGGGAGAGAAATAGAGAGCAGACCTTAATTAAGGCCTTAAGGAGACATGAATTTTTGCTACTTTGCATTTTGAATCATGCATGTTTTATCAAAAAAAAAAAACCTAATGCTTTCATTTGTTAAAATGTACCCACCAATCTGGGGTACAGTTCAGTGGTAGAGCACTTGCCTAGCATGTGTAAGACCCTGAGTTCCAGTTTCAGCTACACACACACAAAAGAAAGAACAAAGGGGTGGAGGAAATCAAGTTAGGATTCCAGTACAGCCTGACTCCAAAACCTGATCTGGATCTTATAATCACTGCACTGTAAAAGCAAAAGGTACATTGTAAATGCATAAAAGATGGGAGAGAGGGAAATACTCCAGAGCAATAATAGTGGTGACTCTGGGGAAGGGGTTAACAGAGACAACTCTCAACAGCTTAGCTCTGCCTGAATCATTCATGACTTGCATAATTTCTTAAAAATTATCTTTCACTGGTAAATACACCTTCAAAAAAAGGGGGGGTGGTATGGTGATGCACCTGTGATCCCAGCTACTCAGGAGGCAGAGGCAGGTGAATTGCTTGAGTCCAGGAGTTTGAGGGCAATCTGAACAACACAGCTAAACCTCATTCAAACAACATAAAAGGAAAACTATAAACAAATGCTCATTTCTAGCAAATGGCAGGTGTGCTAAAAATGTTTAGTAGACTTAAGTCCTACAACTTACTTGAACGAATTTTAAAAATAATAAGATGGATTGATGGACTGAGAAAGCACTGAATAGATAGATGCACAAATGGATAAACAGGTAATAAATGTAATTAAATGTTAAGGTTGGGTATTTGGGATTCTCTATGCCATTCTCTCAACTTTTATGTATTTATAATAAAGTGGTTTTTAAAAAGTTGATTTCAGGGTTGGGGTATAGTTCAGTGGTAGAGCACTTGTCTAGCATGACTTAGGCCCTGGATTCAACTCCCAGAACCACCAAACAACAACAAAAACAAACAAACAAAAAAAAAAAACAGGTTTGGGATTATATGCCTATAGTCCCAGCTACTCAGAAAGCTAAGGTGGAAAGGTCATTTGAGCTCAGGAGTTCAAGACCAGGCTGGACAACATAGCAACATCAGGTCTCAAAAACTGTTGATCTCAATGAAAACAATTTTTCTATAGGGTCATAATCTCTTTTTTTTTTTAAAAAATATTTTTTAGTTGTCAATGGACTTTTTATTTATTTATTTATATGTGATGTTGATCATTGAAACCAATGCCTCATACATGGTAGGCAAGTGCTCTACCACTGAGCTAGGACCCCAGCCCATGGATCATAATCTCTTATGAAACATCATGGAAAAAACATTGAGTAGGAAAAGAAAAGGGGTATTGATAGCTTTATGGCAGGTTGGGGAAGATTTTATTACCAAATAAATTTGTGCCTGGTTTGGAAAAAAAAAAAAAAAACCTTTTCACTTTCCAAGTTTGTTGGGGTTTTTTTGTTTGTTTGTTTTTGGTACTGGGGATTGAACATGAGCACTTAACCACTAAGCCACATCCCCACCTCTTTTTAAATATTTTATTAGAGACAGGGTCTCACTGAGTTGCTTAATGCCTYGCCAAGCTGCTGAGGCTGGCTTTGAACTCACAATCCTCCTGCCTCAGTGATTACAGGTGTCCAACACTGCCCGGGCATTACTGTTTTTAAAGATGAGATCTTGCTATGTTGCCCAGGCTGATCTCAAACTTGTGGACTCAAGTAATCCTCTAACCTCAGCCTCTTGAGTAGCTGATTCCACAGGTGTGCTTGAACAAGCCTGGCTTCACTTTGCAAGCTTTCTGATTTTGAAATGTTGGAATAAGAACTGAATATGGTACAGTCTAAATGATCTTACTCCTCAGAAAGTGCACTTCCAGGTTTCAGTGTAACTTCACCTGGACAAAAGAAGACAATCACTGGGCGCAGTGGCGCATGCTTGTAATCCCAGCAGCTTGGAAGGCTGAGGCAGGTGGATCACAAGTTCAAAGCCAGCCCCAGCAACTTAGTGAGGCTCTAAGCAACTTAGTGAGACTCTGTCTCTAAATAAAAATTTTAAAAGGGCTGGATGTTGCTCAATGGGTTCAATCCCTGGTGGGGAAAAAAGAAGACGACAATCACAAGGCTATTCTTGTTAACCAAAGTGTCTTCCCCCGAGGAGAGGGGCCGCACCTGGAGATGCGGATCAGGTCCCGGACCGGGAGGTAAGAGAAGATTTCCAGAATGAGGACAATACCTGGAGTAGAAATGCAGAGGTTAGGACCCCATTAACCATTTTAATAAGAACCCCAAGTGATTCATATACACAGTAAAGTTTGAGAAACTGATTTTAACTATTTAGATTATTGGAAATAATCTAAACATCTATTAACAGGAAAATGGATACATAAGTTAAAAGGAATGCACTTGATTTCTATGTGCTAATAAAACAGCATTATTTAAATAGAAAATTGTTCAGAAATTCATTCACTATACTGTATACTGCTTATGAACACACGTATGAAATGATGTGAAAGTAAGGTTAAAAATCTTCTTTATATTACTGGCTACTTATGAAAAGGATAAGACAACAAGTAGACCTATAAATGTTTTGCTGTGTACACATATATTGTGTGTTTACATATACACACAGGTGTCTGTCACATGTATGATGTGCAGTAAATAAAACAAAGTTTAGGTTAGATCTGCCCCACAGTGGCACACATCTGCAATCCCCACTACTTGGGAGTCTGACGAATAGAATTGAAAGTCCCAGGGTAGCATAGGTAACTTGGTGAGATCCGTTCTCAAAAATAAAAAGTTAAAAAGACAACGGAAATCGGCAGCACAGGCCTTTAATCCCAGCGACTGGAGGCTGAAGCAAAAGGATCACAAATTCCAAGCCAGCCTCAGCAACTTATCCAGAACCTATGTCAAAACAAAACATAAGAAGAGCCGGGAGAGTAACTCAGTGATAGAGGGGTCCTGGGTTCAATCCTCAGTCGGACCAAGGGGGAAAAGAAAAAACAATGAGAGAAGAAAAGAAACAGGGTGGCGGATACAGCTTAGTGCTAGAGTGGTCACCTAACACAAGCAAGCCCTGGGTTCCGTCCCCAGTATAGCCAAAAAAAAAAAAAAAGTTAAATCTAGGTGGTAAAGACATGGTTGTAATATCACCCTCCATACACTTCTGGATAGTTGAAATATTTCATAATAAACACAAAGAAAATAAAATGCAAATGAGAGAAAGTGGAAATGGTTTGGTCGCACTACTCAGGAATTTTATTCAGAAAATCAGTTGACTCGGGAAAATAATTTCGCTACAAAAAACTGGTATCAGCGTCTGACAATGTCATCACAGACCAGCATTTCCTAGGTGCCGAGTAGGGCCAGGCGCTGCTGCAAGCCCCTTCTCCGCACCGCGGCCCCACGACCGAGCTTTTCTTTAGGGGCTGGGACTGACCACGGGCCTCGCGTGGACTCAGCGCGCGCGCCGGTCCCACAGGGATCTAGGACGGGGACACWGAGGCCCTGAGACGGGCCCACACTGCCTGACTGGAAATCCAGGCCTGCGCTGACCAAGGGCCAGTTCTTGCAGTTCCTGACACACCGTCCCAGGGTAGGGAGGCTGGTCCTCGGGTCCAACCAATCCAGACGAAGCCCTGGCCCGCACAACCGACCCCGCGTACCGTGTAGAGCGTCAAGTCGACATGTCGCCACAGCCACCGGTCGTCCACCAGCCTCTTCCAGCGGTGACAGACCCTGGGGGAGGGGACCCGCCGTTAGAACGACCCCGGCCCCGCTGGGGCCGGAGCCGCATCTCCGGGTGCGCCCCCTGCCCGGCTCTTTCCCCCGAGGAGAGGGGCCGCACCTGGAGATGCGGATCCGGTCCCGGACCGGGAGGTAAGAGAAGATTTCCAGCAGCACCGAATCCGGCAGGTCAGTAAGAGTCACCATGATCCCGCCGCCACGTACTTCCGCTTCCGGTCAAAGCGAAGTCGGGATTCCCTCGGGAATGCCTAGGCGGCGGGAGGRGCGGCAGCCGGACTTCCAGCACCCGGCGGGACCTCCCGCTTTCCTCTCGCAGGAATGTGGTCAGGTTCCGGGACGGGACCACCTCGAGACCAGACCTGCTGGGGGCCCGGCTACAGACTAAGACCCAGCCTGGGCGGYGTCGCAGGGGCTGGGTGAGGCCCAGGGGCGGGGCTGGGACGAGGACCAAGCCCGGAAGGCGTGGTTTGGGCGGGAACCAATCGGGGGCGTGGCCAGGACGGAGGCTGGGCTGGGAATGAAGATGGAGAGTGGGCGGAGAGTGGGCCAAAGAGCGTGTCCCCAGGCGTGGACCTAGCCCAGAAAGCCTGGTTCGGAAGGGGACAGGGACCAAGCTTGGGGCTAGGAATGTAGCCCAGCAAGCGCAAGTCCCTGGGTTCAGTCCCCAGCCCAGCAAGAAAAGGGAAAAAGATCCCATGAAGAAGCCTGGAAGACGGCACCGGGTTGGGACGGGCCCAGGCCCAAGGGTGGGACCGGGAACGAAGCTCAAGCCAGAAGGTGTGGCTGGTGGGCGGGAACAAGGACCAGGACCCAGACTGGARGGCGGGGCAGGAATCGGGCGAGGCGAGGGGGTGTGGCCACAAGCGGAGTACCTGGCGGAGGTGTCTGCGCTTCTTCACTTAATGCAGCCTGAAGCCTGAGGCGGTGGTCCGCGCCGATGATCCCAGGGACCTGGACGGCTGAGGCAGGGGAATTGGAAGTTCAAGGCCACCCTGGGCAACGTAGGAGACCGTGTCTAAAAAAAAAAAGTCGGGAGATAAAGTTCAGTAGCAGCACGCCCGCCTGGCATACGCGAGGCTTTAGGTTGGATTCCCAATATTGGAATGTCCTGAGCACTGAACTCAAAGGGAAATGAGACAAGATTTCGCTAGCCTTGTTATGATAAGATCAAGAATGTGCGAAGTTAGATAAAGAGTGTGTGAATTTAGGGCTAGGGAAGTGGCTCAAGCGGTACCGCCCTCCCCTGGCATGCGGGCGGGGCGCTGGGTTTGATCCTCAGCACCACATAAAAATAAAATAAAGATGTTGTGTTCACCGAAAACTAAAAAGTAAATACTGAAAAAAAATTCTCTCTCTCTCTCTCTCTCTCTTAAAAAAAAAAAAAAGAGTTTGTGAATTCAGATAAGGGAGATTGTAGATAAGTGAAGACCTTGAGACCCTGTGTAGGCATTGGGTCCCACTTCCTCGTTCTCCTGTAAATGTTGGTGAAGATGCTCCTTGGCTCAAATCAGTAATACAGCTTTGATGTTGTGGCTGTGGACTTCATGCAGAAGGAGTGGAGTTTCCTGGATYTAATTCAGAGAAACCTGTACATGATGTTATGTATAGTGATGTGATGCTGGAGAACTACCAGAACCTAGGATTGCCATCATTCCTGTAGCCTCTCAGGGACTTACTGTGTTGCAAGTTTAGTGATGTTAACTCTGAATACAGTGGGAAATAATATAGTCCCTGCCCTAAAGAGATTGTCACTTACTGTGGTGGTTCTCAAAATGTCCAAGATCAATAACAGGGTTGTCATTAGGTTAGAAATTGACCTTTTCAGCCAGGCACAAGGTGTGCACTACTATAATCCCAGCAATTCAAGAGGCTGAGACAGGGAGACACAAGTTCAGAGCCATACTGGGCAACTTAGTGAGACCTTGTCTCAAAAACAAAACTAAAAAGGATTGGGGATTTAGCCCAGTGGTAGAGGGCCCCTGGGTTTGATCCCCAGTACTAGAAAAATAAAATCAAATTAAAAACTGGAGTGACTAGGGGTGTAGCTGAGTGCTTAGTATGGGCAAGGCCCTGAGTTCAATTCCCAGTAACTCAAATAAAAATAATAATAAAAACAAAAGCAGTGTGTATAGTTTGATATACACACATGGATTCACATTCTTTCAATAAAATGCAAACTATTATGTCTTTTACTTTATACATAAAGGCCTGTAAGGGGGCTTGGCTGCTCCTGTGACTCAGGGGTACAGCACTTGTCTAGCCCTTGCAAAACCTTGGGTTTAATCCCCACTGTGACCAAAAAAAGAAAAAAGAAAAGCCCTGTGTGGAAAACAAGTTGTTTATCAAACCTCCGACATAATCTGAAATGTTGTACAGTGCTTGAAAATACAAAGTCTATTTTTTTTTTTTTTAATATTTATTTTTTAGTTCTCGGCGGACACAACATCTTTGTTGGTATGTGGTGCTGAGGATCGAACCCGGGCCGCACGCATGCCAGGTGAGCGCGCTACCGCTTGAGCCACATCCCCAGCCCCCAAAGTCTATTTCTTATTGAAATGTATTATGGTGTCTGAAAGATTTATCATTTTCTTAGGAGGCTCCTGAAAACACATTTGAGGATGCAGAGACTGTTTWTAGGAAACAAAATTTTAATGGCATTTGCTGTGGGAGGGTTAGGGGACCATGTGCTGCTGTATTGCCTTTTATGCTGCTCACATTTTCTACCTTGTGCAAGTAATACCTTAAAAAAAAAAAGTTCCAAATGTGTATTTTTWAAAAAAAAATTGTAGATGGACAGCATGTCTTTATTTTGTTTATTTTTATGTGGTGCTGAGGATCGAACCCAGTGCCTCTCGAATGCTAGGCAAGCGCTCTGCCTCTGAGCTACAGCCCCAGCCCACAAATGTGTATTTATACTACAAACCCCTTTGATATTTTTCTTCAAACAAGAGTGCAGATAAAATGCTTCATGTTTTGGCAATCATTCTTGTGATTGTGGAGGGAAAGACCAAAAGAAATGCACAAAGAAAACCTCAGATATCCCTGAGTTGCTGCTTCAGGTGCTCCCTATTTCCAGAATTTTTGTTATGAGAAAAATAATCAGCTTAAGCAACTGTAAGCTTTCTGTTAGTTGAAGCCAAAAGCATTGCTAACTAAAAAGTTTGAGGCTCTGGACCTGGAACACTGAAAATTACAACTCCTTTGCTTAGCTTATTGGTTAAGAAAAAGTAATAAAAGTACAAAATAGCTGTACTTTTCTGCTGAGTGCTCGTTCTGTTTGAGTGTTTTTACCAGTATCAGCTCACTTTATTTCCATAACCATGGTGGTTGATACTACCAGGCGGAAGCTGAAGCTTAGAGGTCGAATCACTTGCTAGAACTGCAGGGTCAGAACCTTCTGGTGCTGAGCCTCTGCCATTATCACAGTACTCCGTGGTGGTAATTACCCAGCACTGCTTTAGAATTTTTTTTTTTTTTTTTAGTATTTATTTTTTAGTTTTCAGCGGACACAACATCTTTGTTGGTATGTGGTGCTGAGGATCGAACCCAGGCCGCATGCATGCGAGGCAAGCGCGCTACCACTTGAGCCACATTCCCAGCCGCCCAGCACTGCTTAAAAAAAAAAAAAAAAAAAAGCCAGGCACAGTGGCACTTGCCAATAATACCAGCGGCAGAGAAAAGAAAGGATCTCAAGTTCAAAGCCAGCTTCAGCAAAAGCGAGGCGATAAGCAACTCAGAGAGATCCTGTCTTTAAATAAAATACAAAATAGGGCTACAAATGTGGCTCAATGGCTGAGTGTCCCTGAATTCAATCCCCAGTATCCCCCCCCAAAAAAAAGCAAAGAATAAAAAATCCTAACTATGGCATTGGTTTTGTTCACTGCTGTATCATTAAGACTTGCAGAGATACTCAGATGTTTGGGAAAGGGATCTTCTTCATCCCTAAGACTATTTTACTTCTGGTGAATTGTGGGTGGGGCATTGCCTTTTTGTTTGGCAGAACCCAAGCAACTATGCCCCTGGCTCAGGTATAGGGGGCCCTAAAAACCATCTACTGGACCATCTACCACCCCCATCTACTGGGGGTGAAGGGGAGGAAGGTAGGTCAGGTAAAGAAACACATGTATAACTTCCTTCTGGATCAGAAACGAGGAAACAAGGGTATCAGGGGCCTGCCCAACTTGCTCCCTGGGTCATGAGCCAGTCTCCACCTTCTGAGAAATATCCAACGCCCCCAGAAGGAGTAGCTCTGACAGACAGCACGATGGGGTTGCCTCAAAGGGYAGTTGCAGCCAGGTCCCTGCACAGGCAGTGCAGAATTAGCATTACMAAGATTTGGGGAGGAGTCACACTAGGTGACACACTGTCTCTTGGGGTGCCTGTCATACCACTTGGGTCCAGGGAAGGAGTTCTGCAGTTGTGGCAGTCTCATTCAGGGACTTCCCATTGCCCACACCCACTCCCCAGGATGGCCTAGTCCCTCAGTAGACCCTCACCTGTCTCCATGGAGCCYAAGCCCTCATCAATCCCAGGCTTGATGTTCGTCTTCTCATCGCAGCAGTCCCCACTTCTATTGCCCCAGCCCACAGCTCAGCATGACAACAGCTTCAGTGAGCTGTATTTTTTTTGTGTGTGTGTGTGGTGTTGGGGATTGAATCCAGGGCCTCATGTCTGATAGGCAAGCCCTTTGCCACTGACGCTATATCCCAAACCCCTTGAGCGATCTTCAAAATAAACACATAGAAAAATTTACTCTTATAAAATAAAATAAAATGTGTTCATGTTAAAAATCTGTAAAACACCAAAAAGTATTAAAAAGAAAATCAGACTCTCAGCAATTCCACCATCTAGTGGTAAGGACTGTCAAGGACCTGKGTAACCCAGTATTTCTATGTGAACACAAAGGCATGTTGCTTTCAAACTTCTCCAGATGTATCAATCCCCTTACCTTACCCTCAAACTTCCAGCCTCTCTTMATCTATCCATTCTTCTGCAAACTCTTTTTTTGGGGGAGGAAGGRGGTTGTTAAATTGCCCAGACTTATCTCAAACTCCAGGGCTTAAGTGATCTTCCCAACCTGGTGTCCCAAGCAGTGTGGAGGTTGTTGGGAGTCTCCCTGAGAACTCCCCAGGCCTTTCAAACACGGTGGTGGGCAAATTGCMWTKGG